ATTCACACTAGCGATTCGCGCTTGATTTCCTAGCGTGTCTGTTTTCAATAAGTGAAAAAGACAACGACAGCGGCAAAAAGACAGTACAACAGCAGTACACACCGCCACCACTCACAGCGAAACACAACAACACCATCCCCGCAGCCATTATTCTCGAGCACCCCTCAAAAGCGTAAAAAAATAATTTCAAAATGTGAGCAGCCTCCCAATGGGGAACCGAAGGCCACGGTCCTGCAAACAAGGCAAATGAGAAAGGGCCACGTGTGAAGTGAAGGACACAAGAGTGGCACTGCAACAAAACGGCGGCGTGATGCCCCGTTGGGTGTATCGATGCAGAAAAGCACACCACTTGCAGGAAGAGTTGCTCCTCCCGCTGAGCAGAGAGGAAAACCGGCCTCAGCAACCCAATGATGAAAGGTCGCCTGCACCTCCTCACGGCACCAGCAAGCTCTGGAGACAAAAAGATGCAGGTGACGCTCTGCTCCACGGATGACGACCGTTGCACCGGTCGCAATGGCAATCGCATCCTGTGGCACCACACGCCGCAGTGGACGCGCACAGTCTCCGTCTCCCTCCCTCCTTTCACTCTCCCTGAGAACTCATTGTTGGCCGTGGCACACTCACCAACATGTCTGAAAGCACTTGTTTTTCTTCTTCTCTCGCACACCGCACAGCAGCACCGCCAAACGCATGTCACTCCTCCTTTCGCAGACTCTCCTCAGACAAGCCTTCAACCACATTCATCAGCCCACAGGCACATAGTCCAAAAACGTCACGCTCTGCTGCCCCGCATGATGGAGCCGCACACACCAACACGGCACCCCGTCACTCGGCGCAAGCAGTGTCTGGACACACAAAACAGGTTGCCCCAGTCCACGACAGCCCCCTCCAAGCAGTGAGGCAGGACTCGTCGCTAAAAATCAAACAATCAGCTCTTTGTTTCCTCACCCCGCCATGCACAAAGTTCTGCCTGCCCCATGCATCATCCGTGACCCCCGGGCTCTCAATGAGCAAACAAAACAGTATGCGCCCCCCGGCTCAAAAAGAGGCCCTCTGATAATTTTCAGGCATTCTTCTCCCCGGGCTATGCGTGAGAAGCACCACGCCAAGAATGCACAGGAGCTTATACGCAAACTCCCAACTCATTCCACGTCAATAAATGGTGTGGCATCATAAATATTTTCCACGACAAGGTTGGCTGGCGCTTCCCTGAGAGGCCTCCAATACACATCGCACTTGATCACAGCAAAGAAAGAGTAACGCCCCCAATCCGGCTGCCATCCCGCGGCAGAGATCAAAGCACAACCCAACAAAGTGCCGCAAATCATCACATATTCCACACAAACCATCAAAAGCTTATGCGCCAAATGCAGAGCACGGAAGAAGAGCCATGCTCACTATCATACAACACACCGACACAGAGAGGGTTGGGGGAAGCAGCACCCAAGCAACCTCAGTCAACGACAGAAGAGCTCATGGGTGCTGCACCCAAAGCCATTCTTTGTGAATGGGAATGATAATAACACCAAGCAACGCGAAGCACCAGTCAGGCGCCACATGTGGGCCACAGACACCACCCGTCCACCCATTCACTCTTCCTCCTCCCAATGGCGTGGCCCTCCTTCACCTCCACAAACACGTTTGCCTCTTAGTTATGTGTGCCTCTAACGCAGGCACTCAAGATGAGTTTCGGTAATCCAGCATTCAACACCTATGAAAAAAGAGAGGATATGCTCGCAGAGACCACACGGCTTCTCAACGCACCCTCAAGCCCTCCTCACGACTCTTTAATGCGATGGAAAGGAATACAGGCGGCTCTCGTGTCACAGAGGGCGGCCAATGGGAGCGCTGTCCACATGAAGAAAACGCCAAGAATTAAAACAGAGGGGTGGGAGAAGAACTCACAAAGGCCATCACCTGCCACGCCTGACATGCGCCGTCTCATTTTTGCAACGGTGAACCAATGACACTGTTGCCGCGGTGCCTGCCCGTGCGTGCACCTCACACTCGGGGCAATGGGCTCCTCAAAGAACATCCTGCCGAGGGCATACAGCTGGCCGTGCAAACGATCCCGAGTCCTGCCAACGTTCCAGCAGCTGCTTTTTTGGGCGAGGTGTCGCTCTTTTTCCTCCTTTTCTCCCGTGTGCTATCCTCGTATGGAGAGAAAACGCCCTCCGCGTCTGGTGTCATCAAGCACCTACAAATAAATTAGAAAGGAATCACGGCCTCGAGAAAAATTACCAAAGTGGCAGTCAACGTGAGCTAAACAATGCGTGTGGCCTTCCGCAGCCGCGTGCATTGCAACTCCCCTCAGCTGCCCAGTGTTTCTTCCTTCCTTGTGGACAGAAACCGCATAGTACACTTGGACTTGCTCGGGTCCTCCACAGGCTCATGTAACCGTGTCCACCCCGCCCGTGTGGCTCTTGGACCGCACCACGTCTCCGTTCACTGCTGCACCACCGAATAACGTGAAACAAGGATCCCCAACACCGTATCTGTGAGGCAAGCACATGCATCACTCCAACGAGTGCCCACTGTGAGGAATCACACGGTGGCACGCACACAATCTCGCCCTCCCATGAAACATTCGCCGCCCACAATCACAACGGCATTAAGAAGCAGCCTCGGGGCAATCCTCAAAGCCGTCCCCGCCCCGGCGAGCGACCGACTCCCGGAACCCCGCACTCC